GGAACGGATGCGGGAGGGGGTTCCTGCAGGCAAAGAGGGGAAGGAGCCCTGAGCCGGAGCCCTGAGCCCATCCCCCTCACCCACCCCCACAGCCCCAGAGGCAAATTCTCTGGGTGGTTTGCAGCCCCCAGGGCTTGGGGCTCCATGCTCTCCAAGGTCGGGAATCCGAGTCTAATCCCTGAAGGCCTCCTGTGGAGTGGCCTTCGCAGCCCTCAGCCGGGTCCAGCTGGCCTCGGTCAGCCCCCCGGCGGCTGTCTGTCCTGCTCCCAGCTCCTGGTCCAGCGCCGAGGGCACCTTGTGCAGGGCACAGACAGCGAGCTGGAGAAGTGCCACCGCCGCCCCCTTCCCAAGTTCGGGAAGAAAGGTCCTCCGTTTCTCTGAGGGTGCGGCCAACCGTGGGGGCCGGCGAGGTCACAAAGCCAGTGGAGGGTTTACTGAGCTCCTCGGCTGTGGAGAGCCCCAGGAGCACTAATCCTCTGAGACACAGAGCACGGCTCCTGGCACTGACCCAGGCCAGCCTTCCACCTCCTGCTTCTCCCAGCTTTGACATTCGAGGGGCACCAGGCGCGCTGCTGTTTGCCGGGAGGAATGTTCTGCCTTCTCATGTTGCCTTGGGAGAGAGGGGCCCCCCCCCCCCCAAGTTCTGTTCTGTGGATCGCAAGGCTCTGCTTTCCACAGCTGTCAGAGGCTTGAGTCATGAGACACAGATTGTTCTGTTCCCTTGGATTTCAGGATAGTTTTCTTCTTTTACTGATGGCCGAGTCTTTGCAAAAAAATCATTTCTAGTACATACGGGGACTTTCACTTAGCTAGAATATTAGATTAACGCAAGTGCCTGGTTTCTCCCCCATGACATGCTGATTGAGTAAAAGGCCACTGAGTCTTTGAAGAATTCAGCTTTCTCATGTTGCAGGGGGGGAAGCTGAAACCCAGGAGCCCTAGTAATGGAAGGAGAAGAAAGCATTCGTTGGAAGTCCATCATTTCATTAACAGCCCAGAATCAGAGAAGGTTGGATCCAGAAGTGTCCTAGAGACCATCTAATCCAACTCCTGGCCTCCCAGACGTGCCTGCTTAGACCATTGTGTCAGTAACAGTTGTGTGTTGATTGTGTTTATTTTTATGAACTCTCCCAGAGGGTGGTGTTCCCTGAGATTCGAACCAAGGCATGGCATGCTGAGTGGTCACGACCGTGAGTGATGGGAAAAGTCCAGGGGAGAAGACACGTGGGGCAGAGGCTTGCAGAAGGCGTGTGATGTGTGCATGAGGACAGGGCAGGGAGCGGGCTGCAGGCTGGACCGACAGCCCGTGTGGAGCTGCGGGAGTGACTGACGGGGCGTTTCTGGGGGGCCGCTGAGAGCACGGGGGCAGGGGTATAGAGGAGCGGGCCTTGAATGCCAGAATCAAGCATTGTGCCCAATTTTTATATAATCGGGGGCCCCTGTTGCATCTGGAGGTTCCATGGCTTCCGCTGCTTCTGCTGCTGCCCTGACCCAGACTCTTCTCGTGTCTCACCTGGGAGGTCTCCATAACCTACCTGGTCTCCCTGCCCGTACTCTGCCCAGCCACACTCCACAAAGGCCCCCTACCCAGGGGCTTTCTGAACTACAAGTCTGATCATGTTCCCCGCCCCCCCCCCCTTCCAAGGCCCTTCCTGGCTTCTTGTTGCCCACAGGACAACAGGATCCTGCCTTAGGTGGCGCTGTGTGGCTTGGTGCTGCCTCGTCCTGCAGCCTCACCTCCACCGTGCCTCTGATCGCACCAGGCACCCTGGTTTCTTCAGCTGTCATGCCGTTGAACTACTCACTGCCTTTGCCCAGCTTCTCCTTCCTTCCCACTTGCTTTCTCTGACTGACGAACTCCTATTCATCCTTCAAGACCCACTGTAAATTTCTTTTTGGAGAAGCTTTCTCTGACCCCTGAGAGGTCACATGATGCCTTGAATGTGTTTCTGTTTTGAAGCTCACATCGTGTTGCAATGATCTACTTCCAAGATACTGGCGATTCCCGCTTTTGAGTGTGTGTTTTGTTGTGTGCTGGGCTGAGCCCCAGATATGCATTATCCTGCCACAGTAGCCCACGAGGTGCATTCTGTCATAGATGAGTAAGCTGAGATGCAGAGAAGTGGCGTGACCTGCCCAAGGCATGCACCTGGAGGGTGACAGAGCTGGGATTTGAGCCCAGATCTGTTTGACTCTATTTCTGCATCCTTCTGTCTCCTGTTCCCCGGATCCCGCTGTATCCCCTGGACCCCCACTGTAGGCCTTCGGGAACCTGCTGCGCGTGTGAGGGGCTGATCAAAGGGGGCGTGCAGCAGCGTTGTCATGGTGCGGGCAGGATGGGGAAGTGGAGGGAGGCTGGAGGAAGGGGCTGGCTTTACTCTGGTGTTGAGGTGATAAGAGACTCTGAGCCCAGCTCCCCAAGGTACACCTTCCTTTCCCTTCCAAGCAGCAGCCTCTGGCGGCCTGGGCACAGGGCTGCGGGATCCAGGGGAGCAGGCAGGCGGCCTGGCGACATATGCCATGGCAACCTGCCTCCTCCCTGGGGCCCAGAAGTGGAGGAAGGACTGGAGAGAGCACGTGCGGCCTTCTGAGTAGGATCCTGGAGAGGTGGCTCCCTTTGGGCCTGGGTGGCTTCTGCCCTCCCATGAGGGACCCCTGCCTACAAAGTTCCATCCCAGCACGGGAAATGCCACTCTAGTCTCTGTCCCGGAGGAATGGCCAGTCTGGCTTCCCAGGAGACCATTGGGTCCATCCAGGTACAAACGCTATCCCCTGTCCCCCTACCACCACCCCCCAGGCCAGGGAGGAAGGAAAAGGGAGCACAAGAGGGGGGAGGTGTGGGGTTGTCAAGCGAGGTAGGAGCAGGGACAGCTGAGACAAAGCCCTCATTGTACTGAGGCCACACTCGGCTCCAAGGCAAACCGGGCATGTTGCCTGCCTCCCCGTACAGAGGCCTGGGACTCCACCTGGAGTTTCCAGGCTCCGTAGCAACCCTGGCCCAAGCTGGCTCAGAAGAGTGAGGCCGGTCCTCCGACCTGAGTCCTGCCTCTGCCAGGCTGTCCTCCTGCAGGCACCACCCCCTCAGTGTAACCTCCCAAAAACAAGAAGGGAAGGGAGGAGGCTGCCAGGGAAGCCAGGCTGCCTGGGACTAGAAGCCAGGGTCTGTCTGGCCCTGCAGCTCAGCCACCTCGGGCCCAAATGTGATAAATGTGATAACACATCGCCCCTCTGGGCCCCCCAAGCCATGCCAGGAGGCATGGAGTCCCTGGTGGCCTTCCTGACAAGTGCGGGGAGCACTGTGATCCTATGGTTCCTCCTCCAGGGGCTGGCCCGACTGTGCCTGAGTGACCGGGGCACGATGGGTGGGACACCTCCCCGAGCTGGGGCGAGCAACTCAGGTCACAGGCCTGGTGTCGGCAGCTCTTGGGCCCGGCACCCAATACCTCTGGGCAGACAATGCCGGCTGTGTCCGGGCCCTCCAGGGGCACAGGCTCCGCTTGGTGTCACAGCCAGGAAACAGGCCACCTGAGCGGTACCTTTGTCCCCCCAGGAGGCAGCCCCACCACTGGGCAAGATGAGCAGGCTCCCCGGAGGCCCTGACATGGGAAGGGGTGGCGCTCAGCCAGGGGACTCCAGAGTTTGAGGCCCAGCCCCTGGGCACCTGGTGTTGGTCTGGTTCCCCTGTTGGCCCAACCACACGCTGGGGGTGTGACTGGGGTGCGTGCCTCCCTCTCAGAGGCTCAGGTTCCTCATCTGTAAGGGGACTAATCACAGCACTTCCTTATAGGGTTTTTGGGAGGAACCAATGGTGCACTGTACGTAATGTGCTTGGCCCGGGGTCTGTGCGCACCGGGGCTCGGTGACCGCTTCTCTCCAGCATGGGGAAAGGTCGGGGCACGGTGTCCTTGGCCACGTCTCCACTCACCCAGGCTTCTGTCCTTAGTCCCTGCTCTGAGCATGGAAGGAGGGAACAGGGGTCTCTGGGGCTGGCACAGGACTCGTGGCTGCAAAGAGGCCAGGCCCCTCCGTCTCCGGGATGATGCCCAGGATAGGACTCCTTCCTATAACAGCCAACGCCCAGCCCAACAGGGGCCTTCTCCCCTCCTTCAATCCCTGTAGGGCTGCCCTTGGAGCCTAAGCCTCTACCTGCTTGTCAAGACTGCCAAGGATGGGTCTCTACAGGCCTGGTCACTTCCTACTCCTTCCAGCCCACCAACCCCACCCCCAGAGGAGGGCTTCTGTACCCATTTGCCCCCTTCCTTATCTTCTTTGAGCCTGTGCTCTGAGGTCCTGACACATGCCGAAGCCAGCATGCATGTTTGCATGGATGGGTGCAGGCATGCCTGTGTGCCGCATGCATGCGGGAGGGCCCGGCTGCATGTCCTGCATCGTGGGCAGATCCCGAGCATGCTCCCTGAGACGGGTGCGGCCTGTCTTGGAACGGCAGGGAAGTAGTACCTTTTCACATTCGTGTGTATCCATATGTCTTTCTACACATGTGCTGGTATGTTGGTCTGTCTTGTCTCCCCTATAGACAGGAAGGCCCAAGCCACATGCCAACGGGCGCTCTGGGAAGGTGACGTCGAGACTAGCCCAGCCTAATTTGGGGTTCCTGGTCCTGCTCCAGGAGTCCTCCAGCCTGCAGCCCCCACCGAGGAGGGAGGATTGTCCAGCGCGGGTTGGGGTCCGAGTCAGGGATCGGGGGGCCTGGCTTATAGCGTAGAGGACTTGGTGCTGCGCTGGGGGTCAGGAGGCCCTGCCCCGATGCCCTTGCGACCTTGGTCAAGGCCTTCAAGCTCTCTCTCCACGTTCAATCATCTGGAGAACGCGGGGTTGGATCTATGATTTCTGGCTGCCCTTGAAGCCCTGACGATCGAGATTTTAAGTCAGGGGGCAGGAGTGTGCTAACTTCGTTGGCGGAGGCAGCTGTGGCTAGTGCCTGGCCTACCGGGCCCTCGCTCGGTCCTGGGGTGTCCTGCTAAAGGGTAATAGGACGAGCCATGCCAGGCAGCGGCCCTAACGAGAGGATGACATGGCCTGGGCCGGCCCTCCCCGCGGCACCCCCAACGCGCCCTCTCTCCTCAGCCCCGGGGACACCACCCATCCCGCCCCTCACCCGGACCCGCAGCCTCATGGCCATGTCCCTGCCGGGCAGTAGACGGGCCTCTGCTGGATCCCGCAGGTGAGTGTCCCCTTGGCTTCGGAGGGCGGGAGGAGGGAGGGTCTCTGCCCCACCCCCCACTGCCACCGAACTTACAGTGTATCCTTGAGCAAGTCATTTCCCCAGTTTTCCCGGCTTTAGAATGGGCTTGCTATCACTCACCTCCTCCGGGAACTACTGAAGGGCTCAAGGGACACAGTGGATATAAAGTTCTCCGAGGCAGTAAACCACTGGACCCATACCATCCTCAGTATTGCTGTTGAGCTTCGCAGTGACCGGGGGCACTGGTGCCGTCCTCCACTCTGGCTCGCTTGGCCCCCCCCTTTGACCTGTGCATGCCCTTCCTCCTGTCCCTACCCCTGCCTGCCCCCTCTGCCCCACCTGCATCAGCCCCCAGGCTCGGGGGGACCCTGGAAGTGGAGGACCCCTGGGCGAGGGTTGATGGGACCCCACCCTCGGCCCCGCCCAGCCTCCATTCCTGTCCTGGGGAGCCGGGAGGACCAGCCTCCATTCCTGTCCTGGGGAGCCGGGAGGACCAGCCTCCTCCTGGTTTTCCATCTTGATTTCCGCTGTCTGTTCTGTCACCCCTGTCTTTGCGTCCCTCTCTCCCCTCTGCTTCTCTCCCCGGCCCGTGACCCTGCAGCGGGGGCCCTTTGGGCCGCAGCGGCCTGGCGGTGTTCGCCCAGTGTCCGCAGCTGCCCGCCAGCCCGAACGAGCACCTGCCTCTTCTTCCTGCCTCCAGGCGCACCTCTCCCCCCGTGAGCGTGCGGGACGCCTACGGCACCTCCTCTCTCAGCAGCAGCAGCAACTCGGGCTCCTGCAAGGGCAGCGACAGCAGCCCCACACCCAGGTAACCACTCCCCGTGCCCGGCCGGCGATGCACCTGCACCCCGCACCCCGGCTGCGCAGGTGGGGACCGGCCAGCTCTGGCTGTGTGACCTCCAGCAGCCCATTCCCCCCAGAGCCTCAGCTCCTGCCTGAGAGAGGGAAGGGTGATGCCCAGCTGTACACTTTGGGACTCCCTGTCCCAAAGACAGGGGCTTACACAAGCTGGGGGTGATGCTTTCAGAACCGGGGCCCAGCGGCAGGCAGCTCCCTGAAGGTTCCGGGACCCTGTCCCATCTTCCTGCTCTACCGTCCTTGGGGTACAGCTTTTGTCCTCGCCCTTACCAGAGGCTCCTACACCTCCAGGCATCAGGTCAGCATCGGGGCCAAGAAGGAAGAAGGTAGAAGGGCCACCCCCCACCCCACCCCCCGACAAGAAGCTCATGTTTTCTGAGAAGGGACACTTCCCCAGGAATTCTGTCTACACCTTGCCGGCTGGCACTGAGACATGGGACTGGGTGATGGCTGCCAGCCAGGTGGTGCGGGGAGCACCAGCATTGTCCCCGGTACCCTGCCACCGTGCACAGAATTGGGGTTCTCTTGCGGGGAAAGGCAAGAGTGGAGAGTGGCAGGCCACTCGGGCGTCTGCCATCCTGCTCTCCTTGGGGGGCCACCTGCGCGGTGGCGGAAGTACAGCAGATTTGGGAGGCGGAGTGTGTTGCAATGTGGCACATGCTATGTTGTGTGCTCCGGAGAGGCGGGATGGAACCGGAAGAGCAGGCTGGGGAGGCAGGTGAAGGGAAGCTGAGCACTCCATCCTGATTCCCCAGAGGAGCCCAGAGCTTGGGGAGCACGGGCTGGGCATTCATACTTCCAGTCCTTGAGTCTTTCCCTTATCCGTCAAGTGGGGCTAACATCCCGCAGGCTTCGGTGAGTTGATGTCTGCAGGTGGCCCGAACTGGTAGCTGCCATCATGAGGACTTGGGTCCCACATGAGCGTCCTGGGCCACCAAGGCTGGCTTGCGGCTCCCACGGCCAGAGCACCTCGTGGGAAGGCTAGTCTTGCCCTTCCAGTGGAGAGGGTGTCATTGGTGTGAAGTGATGTTCAGATCACGCTGAGGCAGCCGTTCTCAGAGTTTTCCACCTCGACACACATGATGGGTGACACACACGTGCAGGACCCATGCCCCAGCGTCCTGGCTGGGACCCCATCCTGAGTGCAAGGGGTGTGAGCAGGATGATGCGCTCACATTTTGCAAAGTATACGACTGGCAACTTGAACACTTTCTCATTAGTAGCAGATTTTTGCAGTGCACGTCATAACTGCAGCACAAGGGACTGTCCCAGCCCTGAGGTTGGGCACTGCCCCCGTGGGAGGGTCTTCTTGCCCATGTGGATGGTGGCCATTATGGGCGAGCAGCGGGGCCTCGGCTGTGGCCTCAGTGCAGACAGGTGTTCTGAGGCAGGAACAGCGGAGACCCACGGATTATAGTATTTTCTTCTCAGTTATTTATATATTTTTTCCACAAAGATAGAGCTAATGACTAAAAATGTATGAGTGTGAAATGTTATATTAGAAAAAAACCACTCATGAAAGCAAATGGGAAGGGTGAGAACAGCTTCTTCTCTAATTCTCACCTGTACTAGTTTAACTGGTTTGCCCGGCGCCCGGGGAGGAGCCCCTTCTCACGCACCACAGCTCCGCGCCCCACTAGCCCGAGTCCTGGCACGGCGGCCCACAGACGGGGCGTCCCCAGCTCCGGCCCGCGCCACCCTTCTTGCCCCTTGTCGCGCGGAAAACAGGCTGGCGTGTGATAGGCCTTGAGTTAAACCTAGGGACCACGGGGTGAGTCAGTAGAAGAGAATCCGCCCCTTTCTCTCCACCTCTAGCCCCACGCTCTCTGCAGTGGCTGATGGTTTATGAATACTTTCCCTCCGTAAACATTAGGCAGCTCCCGCGGAACCTTTCAAACTGCCTTCACCGCGGCTGCTTCAGCAAACCTGGCCTGTCTTCAGACCTGTGGGTGTCATCGCCCCTCCCTAAACCCCGGGGCTCCGCGTCCCCTGAAGGAGCAGCGTTGGGTGGCCACAGGGCCTCTGGCGGGCCGTGTGAGAGCCTGCCCGAACTGTTAGGCCGAGACCCAGGCAGGCTTCCTGGCACACGCAGCAGCAGGAAGCTGTGGGCTGAGGCACCTGGGCCGTAGCATGCTGGAACTGGGTGCTGTCCTTCGCTGGGTGCAAGGCCTGGCCCTCCCCACTCCTCCACTGGGCCAGAGGTCCTCCACTTTGCAGTGCTGAGACCAGGGTGTGCTCAACACACACACACACACACACACACACACACACACACACACACACACAGTCTGTGCCCCCCCCCAGGCTGGGCAGCATGTGGAGCCGGCTTGCTGCCAGCTGAGGGCACAGCTGTGAACGAGGGGATGCCCAGAGCCGGTGGGTGTTCACACGTGTGTGTGTGTGCCCTCAGAGCACGCGTGTGTGCGGGGGCGGGGTGGAAGGCACCTGCATTTGTGTGAACCCGTGTGTTGGGCTGCTGTGCTGGTCCTTGTGAATGTCCCTGAGGGTGGCCGCAGGGCGGTGGGGAGGCACGGGCACGGGCGTGTACACACGGAGGTGGGCAGGCACACATGGACCAGGCGTGTGCATGCTCGTGGGAGCCCGTGTGTACGTGAGCACAGTGAGGAGGGCACCAGAGTGCGTTTGCAGACAGCTGCGCCCACACGTGTGTCTGCGCTCCCGGTCCCCCCCCAGGGCCCAGCAGGCCGGGCAGTAAAGGCTCTCAGCTCTGGGGGTGCGCCCTCCTACACAGGGCTGAGTCCTTACCCCGCTGCCGCAGGCCTTGGGAGAATTACACAGGGAAGGCGCAGCCCCCCCCCCCCCGCCCCTGGCCCCCACCTCGTTCTCTGGGTTCAGAGACCGGACACCGGAGTTCTGGGACCCCCCCCGGCCCAGGACTGAGATGGCAGCATCAGTGGAATGCCCCACATGGTGCCAGGCCATGCGCTTGCTCTGTCATGCATCCCCACCCATAACTAGGGGAGCCCCGGGCTCCCCACTGTGGTCTTCACTCAGAAGAGCTTTAATAAAGCCTGCCTTCCTGAAGGCCTGGATGCTCTCAGGCCCACACGGGCCGCTAGGGGAGGCCTAGCCCGGAGCCATCTGGTGGCCGTGGGACCAGGATGGTGAGGGACGTCTTCCCGGCTGACACGTGTCCCCTTGCAGGCGCTCCATGAAGTACACACTGTGCAGCGACAACCACGGCGTCAAGCCCCCCACCCCGGAGCAGTACCTGACCCCCCTGCAGCAGAAGGAGGTGTGCATCCGGCACCTGAAGGCCCGGCTGAAGGACACCCAGGACCGGCTGCAGGACCGGTGAGCTGCCATCAGAGGCAGCCCTGGAGACACGCTGCCCTCTCCACGCTCAGAGGCCCCAGGGCCTCGGGGTACTTCTGGGAGGAAGGAGTGGCTGAGGGCTTCCCGGCACCCAGCCTGCCCTTTCCCTTCCGGCAAAGGCCCGTAGGAGCCCCTTTCTAGAGCCCCCAGCCATCCACCTCCTCCCCTCCGCTGCTCTCCCGGCCGGCCCGCTGGTCCTCCCCACACCCATGGCAGTGCTCTCTCAGTTTGAGCCTGGCGGCCCCTTTGGGCCACTTCTTGTCCCCTGGCTCCTTTCCAGCTGGAGAGCAGGAGCCCCGGGCATTCTTCCTGGCTCACCTTCCCTGCGGGGCAAGAAACAACCCCCCCCCCCCCCGGCCCCTTTGCTTCCGCCCAACGAGTCACCAGGGGGCTCTTGGCCCACCGGTTCAGGCCGCAGAGGCCTTTCTGCTCATGTACTTACAGACAATGGGAGATCATGAGAAACCTTTCTTGAGCTCCTACTCAGCCCAGGGGTCCCCCCGGGAGCCCCCGCGACCCCCTCTGAGCTCACTCTCCGGACCTGAGGGGCAATCCCGACCCTCTCGGCTGCTACCTGTCTGAGCCGCCGGCTTCATCTTTATGACCGCAGCTTCAGCGCTGCCCTCTGACTCCTCACCATCTCCTCTGCGTGGTGTCCGTTCCAACACGCAGCCGACTGAGTTGCCCCGGGCACTGGGGGCCGGGGCAGGCCGACACGATCATGGCTGCTTTCCTCTTTGCTCTTTTTGTAAAACTATGCAGGGTGATGCACATGTCGCTCACACCCCGTACAGTTCCCCTCTCTCGAGCGTACCACTCAGCGATGTTTCATATAGGCACCGAATCACGCAACCCTCACCGGTATCCGGTCCCAGAACATTCTCAGCACCCCAGAAAGGAAGGCCATTCCCGGTAGCAGTCATGGCCAAGGCCCCTGGTAACCACTCGTCTTTCTGTCTTTCTGGATTCGTCTGTTCTGGACACCGCATATAAACGGAAGCATGTAATATGCATGAGCGCGGCTTCCGTGGCCAGAGCTTTGCCAAGCAGCCGATGCGGTTTGGCTCTGCTGTGGTTCTGAACTATGGGAAGTTACAGGTGGCATTCAGTGGCCTCCTCTGTCGAGTTGGCATTTCTATTTTTACTTCCCATCATCTTCTAGGTGATGCCCTGGGTCTGCCTGGCCACTTGCACTCATGGGCTCGGGAAGCAGACAGCCCGTCTCCTGGCTTCCCTTCTGGGGCTGGCCCAGCGGCTCGGGCGGACCATCTGCCCCGCGTGGTTTGGGCACGCTCCCCTGGCGTGGATGCGCCCCACCTTAAATCCCCGGCCGCTCTCTGCCTGTTAGTCCCGCAGGGACCCGTGACAGCTCTTTGCCACACGTGCTCCGTGTGTTCACTTTGATACCCATCTCCTGCGGTAACCTACCTTCTCCATAAAGAAGCTTCTACACCCTGTGCTTTTGTTTGCAGTGTCCCCACTTCCTGAGATGGACCTGCCCCTATCCTGCTCCCTGGGCAAACTCATCCTTCAAGGCTCAGTTCAACTGTAATGTCCTAGACAGGGTGGGGAAGCTAGAGCTCCCTGGCCTGGGGTCCCACCAGCTCTAAGGAGAGAGGGGCAGGGCCCAGCCCCACGGAGCATGCCCAACCCCTTCCTCCAAGCGGGTCTTCCCTCCCGGCACTCGGCGTCAGTGTGGCAGGTTTCCCTAGAATGAACCCCAGTAAATGCTCCCATGCCCAGTGGTCCGTCTGTCATGGCCACTCTGAGTGACTCTGGTTCCCCGCTGCCATCACAGGGCTGTGTCCGGGTGGGCGGGCCAGTCTGCCCCTTCCCAGATAATGGCATTGCTGACCTTGCCAGCCGCCGCAGCCCCTCAGCCTGGACCCCTCGACGTTCTGCAGAGCACACTTCCTGGCCTCATTTCCTGAACTGACCCTCCCATCTGACTCCGCAGAGCACACGGTGCTTGATCGGGGATGGTCCCTCTGCTGGGCTCCTCACCCTGAGTGACGGTCAGCCCTGCATGCATTGCGTGTCCGTGAACGTGGGGCACGTGGGCCGCGTGGCTGGGGGGGCGGTGCCTGGGTGGATGCGCCCTGCCCCCCACCCCCCGCAAGACCTGCTGGCTCAGGAGTGGCTTTCCTCCACCCTCATGGCCTTCACCGCATCCTGCCCCACCTCATGCTGCCTTTTCTACCAGACTTGATAGGATGTTCTTCTAACTCGCCTCCCTCTGCTGCACCCCGGATTCGTCTGTGACTTGAGGTGCCTGTGTCTGCTTTGCCTGGCGCTGGCCTCTTCTCTCGGGAACGGCCTGTGCCTTCTTGTCCATCCTTTGGGCCCATCCCCTTCACAGTAGATACAAAGCAGAGATGACCAGTGTGGATAAAACAGAGCCACCTGTGGTCACTGTTTTCCTCTGTCGCACCCACCACGTTTCATCCCCCGCACTGAGGGGAGGCGTGAGGCCGGCAGCCTCCCCCCACCCCACATAGTGGCAGTAAGTTCCACAGCAAAACAGGGCAGCCCGCTGCCTCTCCCCCGGGGGCTCCGGCGGGGGACCCCTGAGGACAGTCTGCACCACCGGCTTTCGTAGGGGCAGATATTTTACGTTTAGTTCTTATTGTCTTCGGTTAAGATTTTAAAATAGATGTGTTTGGTTTTTATAGCAGTAGGCATTTATTTATACACTGAGCATCTTTCTTGTCTAACGTCTCCTGTAGGTAATGGATTTAAGTGGGGACAGTCGTCTGCATTTCAGCCTACAGGGCTGAGGATGCAAAGGGGCCTAGACATTTCTTCTCCCCCCACCCTGACCCCGGGGGGCTGGGGGAAGGAGGCCCCTTGGCTGCCCCCTCACCCCCTCTGGAGTGAGAAGGAGGCACTGAGTCAGGGCTTTTTTGTCTGGCTCTGGGCCGGGAAGCACACAGGCCCTCTGTCCTGGGTGACAGCCCCTCCCCCTGCTTGTCCTTGGTGGTGGTGACAGGCCGGGCAGCGAGCATGTGTGTCTTCTCTGCTCCCAGGGACACCGAGATCGATGACCTGAAGACACAGCTGTCGCGCATGCAGGAGGACTGGATCGAGGAGGAGTGCCACCGCGTGGAGGCCCAGCTGGCCCTGAAGGAGGCGCGCAAGGAGATCAAGCAGCTCAAGCAGGTCATCGACACAGTCAAGAACAACCTGATTGATAAGGACAAGGGGCTGCAGAAGTACTTCGTGGACATCAACATCCAGAACAAGAAGCTGGAGACGCTGCTACACAGCATGGAAGTGGCCCAGAACGGCACGGCCAAGGAGGACGGCACCGGGGAGTCGGCCGGCGGGTCCCCTGCCCGCTCCCTCACCCGCAGCTCCACCTACACCAAGCTGAGTGACCCCGCCGTCTGCGGCGACCGCCCCCCCAGCGACCACCCTGGGGCCTCTGCCGAGGACGGGGCTGACAGTGGCTTCGCGGGGCTGACCGAGGACACGCTGAGCCGGACGGACGCGCTGGAGGCCAGCAGCCTGCTGTCGTCGGGGGTGGACTGCGGCCCCGAGGAGGGCTCACTGCACAGCAGCTTTGGCCTGGGCCCCCGCTTCCCCGCCAGCAACACCTACGAGAAGCTGCTGTGTGGCCTGGAGGCCGGGGTGCAGGCCAGCTGCATGCAGGAGCGCGCCATCCAGACGGACTTCGCGCAGTACCAGCCGGACCTGGACGCCATCCTGGAGAAAGTGACCCAGGCCCAGGTCTGCGGGGCAGTCCCTGAATTGGGGGTCGGGGATCCAGAGCTGGAGCCCCAACCCCCGGGGCCCAAAGACCCCAGCTCCGCCGTGGTGGTGACGGTGGGTGACGAGCTGGAGGCCCCGGAGCCCATCACCCGAGGGCCCAGCGCGCACTGGCCGGGTGCCAACCGCAGCCCCGGCCCGTCGGTGAGCGTGGCGTGCCCGCTGGAAGAGGAGGAGGCGGCCGCCGCCGAGAAGGAGCCCAAGAGCTACTGGAGCCGCCACTACATCGTGGATCTGCTGGCCGTGGTGGTGCCGGCCGTGCCCACGGTGGCCTGGCTCTGCCGCTCGCAGCGGCGCCAGGGCCAGCCGGTTTACAACATCAGCTCGCTGCTAAGGGGCTGCTGCACTGTGGCCCTGCACTCCATCCGCAGGGCCAGCTGCCGCTCGCTGAGCCCACACGGCCCGAGCGCCGCGGCAGGCAGCTCCCAGCTGTGAGCGCGGCCTGACCGCTCTCCCTCCCGCTCGTGCCCCGGGGGCCTCATCTTACTTCAGTTTGGGGTTTGGGAGTGGCTTTTTCGGGACGTGAACAGTGTCAGGGGGCTGGGAGTCGGGGTTGGGAGAAGGCACCCCCAAACCGTGACAGAGGACAAGGGGAGAGAGACCAAAGGCAGGGAGGCACGCCGAAGGGACGCACTGCAGAGAGGGGAGGTGGGGAGGTTCCCCCACCCGGCCCTGTCCACCTGGACCTCCGCACGGGGCCGCCCGCCCACCGCCCCCTCCCCAAAGTCTCCGGTCTGTCGATGTGGGGAGGCGGGGCCTGAGGTGCCCGCGGGAGCCTCCCCGCCCCCACCCCCGTGTCCCGATCCGGCCCGCCCACGCCTCCTCTCCAGCCGCCCCCTGCCCTCAGTCCAGCCTTCTGGGCCAGTATTACCTCCTCGCCCAGAGTACAGGCCACCGGCCCAGGACTCGGAGCCGGGGTCTGCAACCCCTGGGCCCCGGCTGCAGTTCCAGCGTCTTCAGGCTGCTCCCGGCTGTGGGATTCGGAAGCCTAGTCTGGCCATAGGCGCGGGCCGGAGGAAAGACGGGGCGATGTTGGGCACGAGGCGGCAGAGCGCAGCGTGGCTTCTGTGTCTGTTCGTCCTGGACCTTCCCCAGGCTCCGCTTCCCTCTCGGCGCGTCTGGCTGTGTCAGATCGTTCTTCCCATGAGAGCTGAGCCGGACAGGCTAGTGCTGGGGCTGGAGCCTCTGCGGGCCCCGGAGGAGGAGGCGGCGGCTGGCAGCTGTGTGTTTGTGGGGGGGGGGAACCTCCTCCAGCCCTTCTGAGACAAGGTCCTGCAGTCGGGGAGGCGGGGCTGGACTCGGCAATCCTCAGCTGCTTTGAGAAGCCAGACGACTACCCCTGGAGCTCACCCCAAGTTTCTCTGGGGGGCCTCGGGCCCAACTTCTGCTTTGCACTATGTTCACTTTGGGGCTTGGCTCTCATGCACCCCAGCATCTCCACTGAGGGGCTGCTTGCATTCTAGGGTGAGGGCTCCTAGACTTAGACCTACCTACCCCTGGAGGGACTCCCAGCAGGACGGATGGCACGATGGGATACTGAAGCCATGATGTTTCTCCCGACCAAAGCAGGGTGCCCGGGGTTGTCTCAGGCAGGGACGGGGCAGGGCAGGTGGGAGCCCTGCGGCCTCCCTGCTCACAGCCTGAGGCCAGGCGGCCTGGGACCTTCACTGTCCCCCCTCCTTCCCTGGGACCCCATGTGGTCCTCCAGCCAAGCTGCTGACGTTTTACCACCACTATTATTTGACAAAATAAACGCACTCCTTCTCTCTTGAGGGGCTTACACCCGTCTGGCGGCCCCTCCCACTCTTCAGAAGTTAGGCCCCACATCTGGGGGGGGTGGGACCCCGTGTTTCACTCATCCCTCTGGCCCCGGGGCCACTCTGGTTCTCTGCCCAGGTTGCTCGCCCACCCCCGCTGCTCCGACAGCCAGCTGCTGCCTCACTTAGGGGCCCCGCCTTTCCTCTCTGCGTCCTCCACTCAAGGCGGGGGGCACCTGCATGCACTGGGAGTGGGCAGCCAGCTCAGCCATGGGGGCGACAGCCCCCTCTGCCACACGCTTTGTGCCTCCAAAGCTCCCCCCACCGGTTGGGGCCTCAGACAGACCAGCCGTCCTTTGTGGAGCACCCCTCCCCCCGAACCACACCCGAACTCCTGGGGCCTGGCTGGGGCTGCCCCACAGACGCTGGGGTCATGACACGGAGGGGCAGTGAACAAAGCCAAGCCGGGCCTGGCCGTGGACCCAGCCTCCTGTGCCGTGTACTCGCGAAGCTGCGCGTAGTGTCTCCTTAGAAGTAGCCCAAGCTTTGCCGAGAAAATAAATGTATGACTCCATTTGACAACATGCAATCTATGTATTTTTCGCACTGGAATTCAGTCGAGCCGCGCAGCCCCTCTGCTCCTGTGTCTTGCTATCTGTGGCCTTCCTGTCGTGTCTTGTGTTTCGGTGGACGTGGTCGGGGCCGTAGCCGCTCCGTCCCGCCGGAGGACGCCCTGCTGAAGGGCCGCGCCCGAGGTGAGTGGGGCCGCCGCTCTGGGTTGAGGGGCCCTCGCCCACAGTGTCGAGGGTCTTCTCTCTTGGGGCCTTCAACGGGCTTTTCCTCCTCGGGTCAGTGGAGGCCGTGGCTCCGCGCCCGGCCCCGGGACACACCCCGAGAGCACGCGGGCAGGCGGCCCTGGCCCGGGCCCTGGCGCGCACGCGCGTGCGTGCTCAGTAGCCGCATCTATGCAAGGGGGGGGGGCAGCGCTGCGCGCGCAGCTCCGAACGCTGGGGGCACCGCGGCCTGCTGGCCGGCCCTGGCACCGCGGGGCACAGAGTGTGGGGCAGGAGGCCGGGGGCAGGAGGCCGAGGCCAGGGCCGGGGCGGGGGGGGGGGGGGCCCGCCCGCGCAGTGCTCTTCCTCCAAAGCTCCCCCTTTACCTTCTTGCTTAATACCTCCTCCTGCTGGGCCATGGCCTTGCCCTTCTGCCCTCGGCTCCTAACGCAGAAATCCTCGGGGGAGGGGGCCCTTGCCCCCCTGGCCTCCGGCTGGAGCTGATTCAATCCTAAAGGACATTTCCCCAAGAACCACCTACTGAACTGCTGGTCCCTTGGAGCCCAGCGGCCAGAAGTGGCTTCTGTTAGTTGGAGGGCCTGGGTCTGGGCCTCCCTGCTGCTCCTCTGCTCCGGGCTCAGGCAGGAATCAGAGCCGGGGCTGGGACTCTGCACCGAGAGCTGGCCTCCAGCGGAGTTTATTCCGGGGAGATGCCCGGAATAACTTAGCTTTTCACTGAACAGCCTGCCCAGGCATCGCTAGCACCAGGGTATCCGACAGCGTTTGGGGAGGGGTGGGCATCCCCGAAGTTCTGGGACAAGGGTCTACCGAGGGCCTGAGCCCAGGGAACTCAGGACCTCCTTCTCTGACCTAGAGGGCCAGTACCGAGAAGTCACAGCATACTCTCCCATTGGGCCATCCCCTCAATGGAGAATTCAGGGGATACGGGAAGGGGGAAGGTGGGGAGGGTCTCCATTTTGTCTCCTTTGTCCTTCTGTTCAGACAGAGTTGTACCCACAGCAGACAGCTCTGAATTAAAGCATGAAAACACAGCAAGACCCTCGGCCTGTTTTCTTTATATCGTGCTTCCCCTCCACCCCGAGGAGTGAGGCAGGGGGCTCAAACCATCCCTGCCAAGCTGGGAGGCACAGTGAACACACAGGGAACGGCTGAGGGGAAAGAGATCCTTTCTGAGGTTGCGGGAACCAGAGAGCCGCATGCTGGCTCAGTGCTGCCATGTGCCTGTCCCAGCAGCTGAGGGTCACTCCCCTCCTGGGTCACACAAAGGATCCAGGATCTAGAAGGGCCTGCCCCAGCCCCCCACCGAGGGTTAGCCCTGCTGGGGCCTGTAAGCGCACCGCATCCCCTCCGGCACCCCTAAAGTGGACCTCATATCTGCTCTGCAGATGCAGAAGCAGGTTAAGCAGGGGTGCTCTGAAACCAGTGTCCCTCCTCCAGAGTCCCTCACGGCTCCCCCTCTCCAGTCACCCCGGCAGGCAGCACGTGATGGTGGCAGAGCCAAATCTCTGCTCTCAGAGACCATGTGTCACCACTGCTTAGAAGAAAACCAGGCCTGGCATGTCATGGGACCAAGGATTCTGGAACTTTCAATTACTTTTGAAGAAGGGCTTGTATTTAAAAGCAAATCTTTATTCAAAAGAAGTGAAGGATTGTAACTATGTACAGTTTGTGACACACAGCCCGCAAGGGGAAAAGAAAAAATTCTCACAAAGAACGAGGTCGTGTTCTCTCAAAACGTGAAACTGTTTTTCTGGTAGAGGCAGCAAAAGTCTTGCAAGGGACCCAGCTGCAACTTTAAGAAGCATTTGGCCGGCTTGCCTACGTGCCCCGCATTTCAACCCATTTCAACCGCACAGAGGGTCACTGCCTGTGGGCCCTAGTGCATCTCCGAGTCTGAGGCTCCGAGGAGGTCTGCGTGCGCCCCTCAGGACCGCCCCGCCCCAGGCAGCCGGCCTCCCCCCACACCTGTCCTCCGATGACTCTGCCCTTTCCTGCAGGAGGGTGGGAGAGTGGGCCGGCTGAGCGGCCCTCCCCTGGCTTCATACATCTGGGATCGAGTGGTCCATGGCGTGGTGGAGCAGGGTCGAGGACAACCTAGATACAGGAACCAGGACAGTCGCCAAAACCGGCAGCAGGTTCTCCTCCCTACCAGCCGGCACAGCCCCAGGGGGCCTTCATGTCCACTTCTAAGACTTTCAGGGCTCCCACTGGGAGCCACCAGCCACTGGGCCCTGGGAAGGGAGGGCAGGGGAGGGAGGAAGCTGGTGTGGTGGGAGGCGGGGAGGTGAGGGGGAAGGCAGGAGAGGGGCAGCCTTACTTTTTGACCATGTGCTCGTAGATCACAGTGGGGATGACGGTCAAGGTGACAACGTTCCCGGCCATGGCCAGAATCTCTGTGACTTCTTTGTCCTGGAGAGGAGGTGAGTGAGGGGTCACCCCGGGGCCAGGGGCGACTCTGAGGCACCTTTGCGGGGGGGGGGGGCGCTCAGCACGGCCCCCTGCTAGAGGACCCTGCTGCCATCAGGTGGGGGTCTCAGGCAGAAACCCGGGTGCAGCCTTGCTTGAGCAAGAGCATAAGTCCCCTGACCTGAGGATCTCTGCAGTAAAAGCGAGCACGCCCCTCCCCACCCTACCCCTGAAGGCCTGTCTGTGGGAGTCAGTCACCCTCAGGCTCTGGCCCCACAGCACAGGGAAAATTACCATGCAGTGGGGGCCATCAGGTGCAGCCACCCACCCACTGTGCTCCTGTTGGCCGCCAGCCCAGCAGGGCCCTCCTGGGCCCTCTTCCTCTTACACCTTGCTGCCCAGTAAAGAAAGGAAGGTCTGTGGACGCCACTCAGACCAGGGGGAGAACAAGAAAGGTCAAGGCTCTACGCAAACTGGG